TTCTTCCTCTGACAGAGCAGTACTCTAGCACTTAATCCCTTCACTTGTAGGAACCAGCAGGCAGGGATGACGATGTGATATGATTTTGGAGAGCTACCCGGGCTCCTCAGGAGAGCCCCACACTTGGTTCAATGCTCTGCTGCAAGGGGGCCCCTACTGTCATTTTGCATTGGGTTCCACAAGTTACACGACACTCCTGTCAATGAGCGTGTGTTGAGTCAGGTGGGGCCAAAGGCCCTGGTCCTAAGCCAGAGCTGGTTTCTCCCAAGGATACCACAGAATATGGGGCTGTGAGGACCTCCCTGGGCATCTCCCAACATTCTGGGGTCACTAATACCAGCCAGCCAGATGTCTCCCACTCACTGGGTGTGGAACTGATGCTGTCTTTCCTGACAGCACACTCACAAGGAAGAGCTGCACCCACAGGAGAGGCACTTTCCACCCGTCAGCCTTGTTTGGAGAGCCCTGTGGCACACAGGCTTTTGCACGCGTGGTTGGGAGTTCAAATCAGCACATCCTTTTGGGGAAAACATGTGGGGGTCTGTCAGAAGTTAGAGTCACACGTGTCCTGCTGCAGTGGCTCCTCCCTAGGCATTTACCTTCTAGCCACAGCCACACAAAAGCAGACTGCTCTAAATTAAAAAAAAAAAAAAAAAAGCAGACTGCTCACTTCCCTGCAGCACCATTAACAGAGGCAAAAACAGAAAACAGCAAATTTAGGAGTTTACGCAAGAGTGTTATTTGCAGCTTAAAAAAATCAAAGAACATAATATGTGTGTACGGAAATAACATCACAAAACCCATTAAAACTTTTTAAAAGAGGGGGATAAGAAAGAGCAATGTGAGGGGTTGTAAATGTGATCAAAGTGCAGTATATTCAAGTGTGGAAATATCACAAGGAAACTCCTTTTGCAATGAAGACACACTGCATATATCTGTTGAACACCCGCGACCCTGTGACTCTGTGCCCTCATGGCCCCCATGTCCTCGTCTGCAACGTGAGGACAGTAAGGTTATGAGAACCATGTCGCTGCTGGAGAGACTAAGGTGGCTAGTATCGAGGTATCCTGCGTGAGTGCCAGCAAAAGCCCACCAAGCATCAGTACTGCCACTGCCACTGTCAAGGGAAAAAATGAGAGTGTCAACAGCTCGTGTCACTGACTTCTTGTCACAAGAAATCCAACTTACACTAGGGCAATACGGGCCTGAGAACTGGGAGACAGAGAACTTTCACTTTTTTACTCATACACCTGGGCGTTCAACACTTCCAACCAGGAGCATTTATTACGTTAAAAGTGGGGAGAAAACGGCTTTATTTTAATTTTATTTGATTTTACTCTTTTATTTTTTGGTGATGCTGGTTTGCACTCAGGGCCCCTTGCTTGCTTGCTTGCTAAGCAGACACTCCCCCAGCCCCACGGTGTTTAGAGATCCAAGACAGCCTGTGTCCGGGTGTCGGCAGGTGGCTCTGCCAGTGTCTTTCTGTGGTTGAGCCGACTCTTCTGCGACAGACAGCTCTCCCTCTCACCCAAGGTTTCCACCCAGCGGCAAAGGCAGTGGGACAAGGAGAAGCAAGGGACTCAAGAGGCAGAGGAAATATCGTGTCCCAAGTCCACGTGACAGGCTGCTACTTTGACTTCAGTGATGACAACAGTGTCACTCATACCAGAGGCAGGAGGAGAACCCTTCAGCTCCTGCACCTCAGCAGATCCGTGGGGGTTTTGGCAGTGTGCTGTAGTTTTAAATTTTACACTTTATAAAAATCTCAGTGGGCTTCTGCAATCAGAGCAGCCATCAGTGCTGAAGAGCGGTACGTGAGCCAGACACGTCTGCCCGCAGACCTCCCTTGCCCTTCTCTTCTCCCACCCAAAGCCCTCATAAAAAGCGAGTACACGAACCACGAAAAGACAAGTGGAAAGTCAATTGTATTTATTCTTTCTTATACAGAATCAGAGAAGTAAAAACCTGTACCAAACTCCAGGTAAAATGGTTTCATCTGATTGGTTCAGCTGCATACTCTCTGTACGCATCACATTCTAAATTTAAAATAAACACATTCGCCATATTACAAAATGCAATTTTTTGAAGTTAAAGAACTGTGACATAAATGCTGTAGTGTTAGGGAAATGGTCTGCCAATCACCTATTTTCCTAACTGAAGTAATCTACAATGTCTTTTTTTTTTTTTTTTAATAACAGCTTATTTTTCCCAGAAAAGTTGCACTTTCGGAAGTCACCTTCTTAATGATATCAGGAAAACACTTTCTTCAGTCCTCACCGACTTCCCAGAGAGCTTTCCCGTCCCAGGGCCAAGCCGCCCTGCACGCCCACAGTCTGGCCGGTTCCACGCTCCCCCCCAGTGTAGCCAGCGAAAGAAATGCCTGGAGTGACAGCCTGTGACGGCTGCTTACACCTGACAGAATTCCACGTAGCTTTCAACAATGCAGTTGCTTCAAGAAAATGTATTTTATCAGGGAAAAAAAAAAAGCCTTTAATATATCTCTGAAATTACTTTGTTTTCAACCTCACCTCATTATTTTGCCTTTTCTATGGCAAAATTTGTGGGTGAGATGGTGAAATTTATGGATTGATTTAGGACTAAAAAGACTAACAATCCTGGCAGTTGTCTTATAATAAGAAATATAGTATAAATAGCACCTTATCATGATTTTTGAGGGGTGTTAACACTTACAATACAAAACAGCCATTAAAAAGTTGCTCGAGGGCTGAGGGTGTAGCTCAGTGTACTGCACTTGCCTAGCATGCACAAAGACCTGGGTTCAAACCCCACCCTGACAAAAATAAAAAGAAAGAAAAGAAAAGAAAAGAATAAGTTGCCCTTCCTGAAGATTTGTAGCTTTCATGTTCATTAACTAAGGCCATATTTATGGCCTTAAAAAACAAAAATTCTCTCTTCCTTTATCAGGGTCCACATTTTATTCTGCAAAAATATTTATTATATTCATTAATAAATGTTGCAACTAATTTCACTAAAAAAATTATTCTAGCACTTTATAATGCCACAAGCTTACTAGAAAATTACTTCAAAAACTTGTAAATCATCCATGATGTAACTACTGAAAAAAAAAAAAAAGAAGGGTACTGGTTCTTTTACATGTAATAACCTGAAAATGAGTCTATAAAAATATTTTAAAAATACAGTAACACTGCTGAGTTTTGTTAGGTCCCTTGTTTTTCTTTTTTTTTTTTCCTTAGAAAGAATGTACAACTCTTTTTGCAATTTTTGCTAACAAAAGAGATAAAAGAAAGAGTGCTCCCCTTCAATTTAGTAGTGACACAAACATCTACCCCTCCCATCAGAGTGCTTGAGAGAGAGAGAGGAGAGAGAGAGAGAGAGAGAGAGAAGGAATTAGTGGGTCAAAAACCTTGGGTCCTCCAGGAAAAAGAAGTCACTTGGGTATCCAAAGCGATAGCAGGCCCAGGCTCTCGTGGGCTGACATCCCGCGGAAAGGGTGCCCAGCCCTGCCCGCCTCACATAAAGTGCACCAAAGCCGTGTCTTCTACAACAGTCTTTTGGTTAAAAAAAAGAAAGGTTGCGATAGAAAAATTGCTACTTCGTGCTTTGGGGTACTCTCGCTCCTCCTGCTGTCTTGCTGTTGGGGTGTCTGTCTGTGCCTCACAGCCAGCGTCCTTCCTGCTCTTTCCACAGCCTCACTTCACCTCTGACCTTTGCACTTGCCTCTCCCTCTCCATCCTGAAGATCGGAAGGAGAATTACCCCCCTGGGAACTGCCAGGTTCCTCTCAGAGACCCGAACTGTTAGTGTCTTTCCAAAAAAAAACAGGTGAAATTGACAGATTATAAATAACGTCAGCTGAAAACATTAACCAGCTGAGGACTTCACTGGCAACGCAGCAGACTGCACGCCGGGAAGCGCGGTGCTCTCAGTCCTCAGATCATCCTGGAAGAGTTCCTGGTTACACGAGAGGTACTGGATACATAGCTCATGCCTTTATACCAACTGCGGCAACAGGGTTAGGATAACGCACTTAGGAGTCGCTTGTACTGAATTCAGAAGCTAAGTCTCCACCATCCGCCCTTGGCCTTCACACGGTTTCCCGGACAGAAGTGTCTTCAACGCCGGAAACCTTGAAGGCAAAACGGACTGGGCTTGGAATTGAAAAGTGACAGTTTCTCCTGCAGCCCAGAATGAAATCTACATAGCTCTGATGTTTCAAAAGATAAACTACAGTTGCCACCACCTTATCAAAAACATCTGGCCTGTCATTAGCTACAAAATTACAGTGTCTTAGAAAATGAACATTAAACTCTTAAGCTGCATTAAAAAAAAAGATCCAAGCTGCAATTTAAAAGAAAAAAAAAAAGTTTGGTTTAAGAACTTCTGCTGGAGTACCAAACCTGTCTCTGTGACAAGCTCTCCAGGGTGAGATGTCACACTGGGAAACGATGAAGAAGCGACCCTACCAGCGCGCTGTGGAAGTACAGAGTAAGAAGCGGGTCAGAGCCCGCGTGGTTTCAGGGTTCCACGCAGCAGGTTTTACCATCCAGATGAGACTTTTTAAAGCTCAAGTGAAATGGGTTTTTAAAGCATCTGGAAGTACTGTCACCAGCACAGTTTCTGAAACTGTGTATCAAGTTGAATTTTGTGCACATCTTTTTGGAGCGAGCTGCCCAGCCGAATTCCCTGCCTGTGGTCACTTTTAAGGTTTTTGAATCAATTGATGTATAAATTTCAGCTGACATCCAATAGCCATGGGGCAGCAGAGGGGAGAAGTTACTCTGCGTAAAGGACTCTGCATCACCTGGCACAGGAGAGCAGGCCTGCGGAAAATGGGAACCGAGCATTGATTTAGATTGGACTCAGTGACTGACAGGCAAGGTGGAGGCAATGGGTGAGCAGGCCACATGGAAAGGAGTGGGCACCACAGGCCTGCTCTGCTCTGCTCCTCCCTCTTCCCCAGAGGCCCAGGAAAGTCGGTGGCGGCTGCCTCCAACGTGGACGTGGACTTGGACTTGGTGATTACAGCCAGGTCAGGAAGGGCTCGCTTTTGTTCAGAGCAGACTCCACATCGTTGAAGAGCGGGATGAGATCCTCAGACTCCAAAGTCCCCAGGTCGACGTTGGTCCCCGGAAGACAGTCAAGGAAGTCAGGAAAGCGGGTCTGCTGGGGGTTGACAGTCATGGGCGTCTGACCGGCACTTTCTCCTGTAACAGAACCAAAGGGGCAACTCAATTCCTCCCCCTCCTCGGAAGCTCAAGTGTCAACCCAAGTCTCAACTTCACACCTTCAGCTCCCATAACAGGGACACTGATCGTTCCACAGGGAACATGGCCTACAACGGACACTAGAGAGAAATGAGAAAGGATGTCGGGTGTGACCCCAGATCGGCACCTTCCCGCCACAGCGGCCTGAGAAGGAGCAGCAAGGCCACCTGGAGTCCACACCTCACCTCGTTACAGAGCCTTTCACCACGCCTGTTCTCTACACCAAGGAAAGCAGAGCCAAGTCTCCTTCAGCCGAGTTTAAAAAGCTGTCTCAGCGCCGTGTGGAGGCTTGCCTCGCCCACGCAAAGGCCAGAAAAAAAAAAGCTATCGTCATTGAAGGTTTCGGGCACCGTTTTCCAGGGTTGAAGACGCTGGGAAGACATCTGGACTCTGACGAGGAGATCCATCCCCTTCACAGGCAGCAGTCTGGGGGAACGCATGGGACCTGTGCAGCTACACTTGCCCTCTAAGCCCTTGGCCTTAAGCACGCTGAATTTGTCTGATTTAGTTTACCCATCTGGAAATTGGGTTATAGGACCTTCTTTATAATTGGGAATAAAACGCCTATAGGGTCTGCCACACATCCAAAGCTCCAAGTGTCACCTAACCATAAAAGTTGTATATACAAAAGTATAATAAATGTCATTGGTTGACAAAGAAAAACCTAGGAACTCAAACACTATCAGTTACACAATCTCAGAACAGTAGTTAATTCAAACAACCCCAAAGAAGCAGTTTTCTGAAGAGATTAATTACCTCAAAGGCCGAGAGGACTGCTGAGGCCAGCCTCCACCACAGGTCAGCCTCCACCACAGCACCATAGGCCAGCCTCCGTGATAGGTCAGCCTCGGCCATAGCAATTAAAGAAACGTTTTGCATTGGTTTTGTGTCTGCCCGGTGCAGTGGCCTTGCTGAAACGCATGTATGGAAATCTCGCTACTCTTAGCAAAAGTGCAGAGAGTCTGTTTTGGTCACACGCGTTTTCCAAGGACAGCCGCTGAGGCCCGGCCAGGAGGACGCACAGGCCGGAGAGGCGAGAGAAGGGCCTAGGCATATGGGATCCTCTCAGTTGCTTCTCTTTCTAACGGACCGTCACCAACTGCTTTCCGAACGCACGCCCGGGCTGAAGCCATGTGTGCATGGTCGGCTGAAGACAGCACGGTCTCCCGGGGGCAAAGAGCCCATGTTCTCCAAGAACTAAAGCAGTGTGCACAGCCCACACCTGGCAAAGCAGATGGGGACTTATAGCATGACCATGAGGAAGGGGTGACACCAAGCAAGGACAACTTAAGGAAAAGGAGAGCTTAAAATCCCATGCCCCCATAAAAACCATAGTTGTGGGTGGGAGAGGTGCTGGAGTCTTCAACAGTGCCTGTGGGCCTGTGACTGTCATTTACTGTCACTGATGTAGCTGGGAGGTCAGACAAAAGATGAACAGAGAACACTTAAAAAGGACAATACTCTGAGTGCTCACCGGTCATGCTCCCACCTGTGTCCATCTCATCCACATTGCTGAGAAAATCCTCGGGAGTTGTGGGGACACTGTAGCAGCCCAGCCCCAGGCCACTGTCTGTGCTCTGTTCCCTGGAGTGATAGGGTCCCCTGCAGAGAAGAGGGTGCACAGTCAAGTTCACAGTCAAAGTCATCGAACTCAGGGCCTCACACATGCTAGGTAAGCGCTCTGCCACCTGAGCCATGTCTCCAGCTCTGGAGCACATGTTTTAGGAAATGTTATTTGCACTGATTTTCAACCGGCTATGGAAAAGGATCCACTACGAATAGACGGTGAATATCTTGGTGTTTTCTAATTCTCTTTTATGAGGCTTCATTTTTTTTGTTAGTAGTTTATTGTTGGCTTTCACTACCTTCAAAAATAGTGTGCCAGTTAACAGGTCACTGTGAACAGCATTTATTTTAATTATAATTGAGCAGCCGTAGAGGATATAAACACACATCACGTGTATTGGCAGTGAGTAACTTCCCAGGAGAATTTACTGATTATGTCTTTATTGTTTTGTTTGTTTCTCACTTTTCTGTTCCATCAATGCGTTTCCTCTCTGAGCCAACAGTCAACAGAGATGCCATCCATAAAAAAACAAGTCACACAACTGATGGATGGATCAGTAAAGTGTGGTATACACACAAGGGAGAATTACTCAGCCACAGGGAGTGATGACATGGGGTTTGAAGGTAAATGGATGCAACTGGAGGACATCAGGTTAAGTGAAGTCAGCCAGGCTCAGAAACACAAAAGATGCATGTTTTCTCTCATACGTGGAAGACAGATCCAAAGATAAACATATACACAAAAGCAAGCGTGGCCATATACAAACTCAGATGCAGACCGTATCTGTAACAGTGAACTTGTCTGTGGACCTCGGGGGAAGAGGGAAAGGAACGAGAACGACAGAGCATCAGTAACCCCGTATACCACAAGATGTGCAGGTAGAGGACATGAGGATGTGTGCTGAAAGCTGCTGAATAATGGGGGTGGGAGGTAAGGGGTGAGGGAGGGTAAGGGAGGGGTTGAGGGGCCAAAGTAAAGTATATTCACAGTGGGATAGAGTGAAAAACCCCTGGGACCATCAACTTAGATATTAATAATGAAAACCAGGACTGTAAAATAGGCAGTGTGTGGGGTACTTGTGGGAGGGGGAGGCGAATGGAGGAGATGAAGGTGAGGGAACATGGTGGATGGACTTCATATATTACATGAAACAGAACAAGGAAACCTCTTGCAATTGCTTTGAGTGGGGTGGGGAGGGGATGGGGTGAGGGGGTGGTGATCTAACCAGCGTACAATGTAAGGCTATTTGGAATTGTCACAATTAATCCCCCACATACAATGAGTATATGCTAATAAAAATGAAAATAAATCCACAGGCTTCAACTGAAGAAAATGTACGAATCATAGGCAAATGAAGGTGGCTGTTCACAGAAACAGGCATCTCAAAATAACCACTGCACACTGGCCTACACATAGATACACCGTGAATGTGAAATTTAAAGGAACAGAAAATGGCGAATACTTCCCAGCACTCCGGAGGTGGAGGCAGGAGGGTCATGAGTTCAAGGCCAGCCTGGGTTACATAGTGAGACCCTGTCTTAAAAAATGAACAGACAAAAGGCAAAAAGCAAACCCAAACTCTATGTGTGATGGGCGCACCCGTCTCTGAATAGCGGCTACTGTGGGGACAGAAGGGAAAGAAACGAGGTCTCGGGTTGTGGGGATGAATTCGAGTATTATTTGCAGTATTTTAAGCTTGGATTTACCAATCTGGATGGTGGGCACATGAGGAAGTCATTACTTTTCTGCTCTTTAAAATCAGCAAGTTAAAAGCACCCCCCCCTCATTATTTCAGCTGCTGTTTAATTTTGCTCCATATTTAATCACGTTTAAACGTTTGTGGCCAAAAGCTTCTGCAGGGGTAGAAAGACATCGGAAATGGAGCATGGCCCCGAAGTGAGTTTACAAGGCTATAATTAGGGTGCACTGCTTCTCCCAATTCAGATATTTCTAGTTAAATTATTTTCTCCTTCTTTGCTTAGGTTTTGAGTTTGAAAAGGTTTCATCGCTTTGTTTTAATTAATTGTGAAGTGATTTTTAAATTCACACGGAAGAGGCAGAAAGAGTGAGAGTTCCTGGACACCCTTTCCTGGCTTCCAGTCTCCCACAGGAAACGACACCCTGGCCCACGGTTAGCTGCACCTGTCCACGGCTCACAGTCAGCATCATCCCCCGCTGGGCTGTTGTCTGCTCCATCCCGTTAGCTATGACAAGCTACGAGATTCTTCCAAGTGTAATTAGCAGCCAGCTCACGAGTTTAAATTACACTTCCTCAAATTCAAATCACTGAGTGGGCTTTCTTCCATACCAGATGGCTTTTTGTTGGTGGTGGTGGTAGTACTGGGGTTTGAACTCAGGGCCTTGTACTTGCTTTAGTTTTCAGACAGTCTCTCATTTTTTTTTTGGTCTCTAAACCACAGTTCTCCTGATTGCTGCCTCCCAAGTAGCTGGTATTACAGGCATGAACCATCACACCCGGCCTGCTAATTTTTTTAAATTTTTACAAAGGCAAATGACTTCCTCTGCTTTTCTTTTTTTTCTGACAGCCCCCCTCCTTTCCCCTCTACCCTCACCCTGAAACCTCAAGCTCCTCACCTTTTCCCAGTATGAACAAAGACCCCACTACAGTCAGACCCCCTACGGCTCCAGTGTGACTTACCCGTTGAGGAAGGGATCCGAGCTGTTGCTGATGGGCCTCACGTCTGGGGTCATGGCCGGCGGGTTGACAGCAGCCTGAACGGCTGCCATGGTCTCGGCTTCCATGGGGAGCTGTCTGCAGAGGGCTGCTTCCTGCAGAGGCAGAGGCAGAGGAAGACCCAAGCGTCACTCGCCCGTTCTCGCCAGGATTCGAGCAGAGAATTCTCGACACGAAATTGCTCAACAACACTGTTTATCTGCAGGAAACCGTTCTTGGTCTCTCTGAAGGAAGTGGTCCAGACAGACATCACTTCCCTGCATCTCAAGGCTGACCCAAACCGCCTCACATGCTGTCCAGTTGTTCACACGGAACCTGCACAGGTCTCTAAGTGACTCCTCAGAGACCAAGCTGTTTGTATCCCGGTTTTCAGACAAACTACAGCCACGCAGGTGGCCAGACCCCCCTGGACCAGACTGGTCATGACCATGTACAGGCCGCAGCAGCCCTGGGAACACAGAGTTCAGCTCCACGTGATATTACATCTGACAGTTTATGTCCACAGCCAGGAAACAGACCATAAGATCAATTTTTAAAAAGTCAATCTGAGTCCGTGGCTCACGCCTGTAATCCTAGCTACTCGGGAAGATCGCAGTTCAAAGCCAGCCTGAGCAAATAGCTCGAAAGACCCTGTCTTGAAAAGAACCATCACAAAAAAGGGCTGGCGTAGTGACTCAAGGTATAGGCTCTGAGTTCAAGCTCCAGTACTTAAAAAAAAAAAAAATCAATGTATTTTTCTACTTGACTGCATTGTTAACTAAAATGACTGAAGACTGGGGACCCATGGGACTCCAAGCAAAACCCACAATTGCATGTGTGATAGCAAATGGAATTTATTAGCCAAAAACACAGTGCACGTGCCATTTTTTTTAAGCTGGCCTTACTCTGCCAGAGAGTCAACCCAAGCAGCTGTGAACTTACTGCCACGTCTTCCTCAGGTGCCACCTTGGGGGCCTCTTGTCTTTGGTCAAACACATCAGGCACTGGGTTCCTTTCCTAGAGGTTAGGCCTGCCTGTGTTTACCTGGCAGGTTTCCCCTGCCTGTGCTGAGGTCATTGTCCCCACCATCCTGCAAACCCAACACGGCTCGTGGCCAACAGAGGACCGGGACCACCTAAGTGACAGGAGTCCCTCTAGCCGTACCTTGCTATGACTCTGGAGAACAGCGCTGTCTAGACGAGTCCCAGTGAAGTCATCGGCTGTCACTGGGAGTCACGAGAGGGGCCTGCATCCTGACGTTAACTCACGCGGAGGTAAGTGTCCTGGCTAAGGTGCATCCAGACCACAAACAACCAGCATGCCCACTCTGCCGTGTGTTCAGCGTCCTAACTTAAAAGGCGACTTTTTTTTCACAAAGGTAATTCTAGCCCATTACCACCACCCTGCAAGTGCTTCTGAATAAATCTAGAAAAACCAAACCGTTTGCTGGCAGTTCTTTTCCCTGGCGGGCCGGTGCGCCTACAAATGTCTCTATCCAACAAACCTTTCCTGAAAGTCTCCTGAGAAGGACAACGGGGTTTAACCCAGTGTGAAGGGCCTGGACCCTGGATCTGTCCCGTGAACTCGCACACCCAAGCGCAGGGTGGAACGCCTGGTCCGTGGGAGAATTTCTAGGGTCTTTTTGCTTTTGCATGTCTGGGGCTTGAACGCAGGACCTCACACTTGCTAGGCAGGCGCTCTACCCCCTGAGCCTCTCCACCAGCCCTATTCGGCTTAATTACTGAGATGGGGTCTGGCTAATGTCTTTCCTGGGCTGCCACTGCACTTCAGTTCTCCTGTGTAGCTGGGGTTACAGGCGTGTGATGTCACACCTGGCCCTAATTTTTAGGTTTTTTTTTAAAAGTCGTAAATGCAAGAATCCTTTGGCTAATAAGCTTCATTACTCGAAAACTCTACCTACCACTTCCCATTCTTCATTCTGAGCAAACGTGGGGTTCACCTCTAAACGAGTATCCTTTTAGCACAGAAGTTGATGGATGGCTGAACTCCTTTACAGTTCACAAAATTTTAACCCCCTGTGTCTCAAGAGTACAGGTTGTAACTTCCACAAGGTCAGAGTTTATATATAGTAAGAATCATTCCTGGAAATTCAAAAGTAATGTATGGATTATTTCATGGTAAATAATAAATATTATTTTTGGAAACAAAATTTAAATGATATGGCCAAGTACCAAAACCATTATGAAATATACAGTTCTAGATGTTTTTCTTATTTAAATTACTCCTAGTGTCAATGTTCCTAGGGACTTTAGCAACTTAGCTCCCAAGCTGTCATAAGAGGAAATGCTACCTTCTGTCTGTAGGGTGCTCACAGTCCCAGCACCCACACTGGAATGTGAAAAGATGGATGGACGGATAGACAGACAGACACACAGATGACACATGGGGAGCGGGGACAAAGGGTGTTAACAATGCTAAATAAGCCTGGTCTATGTTTTATTCGCAATGCAATGCTTTCCCCAAGATCATTCTTAGATCACAAGCATTCCACACAGAAGCCAAAGTGGAGCCAACTCTGTGTCCCTGCTTCTGGCCACACCTGGGTGGTGACTCGGGGGAGGTCCACACAGTGGCCCAAGCTCTGCCCTCTCTTCCTCCATCTCTGGCTCACCTGGCCCCATCCCCCTGTCACCTTCTCTTTGAGGTCCTCCCCCTGCTTGGGACCCACTCCTCAGCTCTTCCCAAAGCTCACTCCTCCCTGTCTACAAGAGTACCACTCTGTCATTTCTGTCCCTTCAACTGCATCAATTTTCTTCACAGCAAGTGAGGTGTTTATTTGAGTGAGGGCCGTGGGGAGGGCCCTGTCTGCCACACTCATTCCTGCACCCCGGCCACCTGCACCCCCGCTGGCCTGCAATAGATACGCAGATCTTCACCGAGGGAACAAACGAAAAACATTACGGGATTCAAATGGCAATGTTTTAAATCGTGATCAATAACGAATAAGCTGCAAACAGTCCATCACATCTTGAACCACAAATGTGAGAGCAACAGTGGCCTACGGTATGCATCCCAACTAGCCAGGTGTGACTTGGTCATCCTCAGGTGACGGTCCCACTGCGCCCTCCCCTGTCCTGACTTGGGCTAGGAAGGGGCCACTAGAGAAGGGCTCGGTGCCATGGCACATGTTCTGGGCTCAGCCCAGAAAAGCTCACGGCACAAGGGAGAAACTGTCTTTGGAATCGGAAAGACTGAAGTTCAAATCCCAGTTCAGTTACAACATGGCTGTGACGCGTTGGACACACCTCTTAACTCTTCCTGACGGCCTGTCCGTTGGAGAAAGGACGCCATGGAAGACTTGTGGCTGGGCTGCTGTGAAGAGGGAGAGAGCTGACCTGATGCTCAGAGCGAGGCCCTGACGGTGTGAAGTGGGTCAGGCTCCCATGCGTGCTGAGAGTTCACACATTCCAGTACACTATTTCCCAGAAGCCTCTGCACAACTCAACTGGCTCCACGTGACAGATGGGGAGACTGAGGCACGGGGACTTGAGTGACTTTCCCACACTCCCGTGGCTAATGACTGGGGGAGCCAGGCCCTAGACGAAGGCCAAGAGGCCTCTGAGTCTCTTGTAACCACAGACAGTGGGGCAGAGAAGAAAAGTGAGGGCCAGGGGCTCAGACCTCAAATTCGGGGCTTTCACCCACTTCCTGCTGTGAGGCTGGGCAAGTGACCTCAATGCTCTCAGCCTGCTTTCCCAGCTCTGAAGCGGAGGTGCCGACCTGTGTCCCTCAGTCACGCAGAGGAAAACTTAACCATCGGCCATGGCCCAGCCCGGGACACGTGGAACTGGACGTGTCCTACGATGTTTTTCAATGTGTATGGGTGGAGCCGGTGTCCTGGGAACTCGGGACACAGCCAGCAAAGCTGTAAGTTCGGGCTTCAGAGGCCAGTTTCAGAAAGTTCTGGAAAGCTGCCCAGGCTGTCCAGCCCCAGCCCTCTCCTGACAGACCCACTGTATTTTTCATTGGCTGGACAGACTGTTGCAAAATGACTTGAGGATCACTTGACGGGTTTGTGGCCATCTGTTTAGTTCCCTGAAACAAGACATTCTGTTAAGAAAACACCGTCCCCCAGTGGCTGTGGCCTGTGCGGGATGTGGAGCAGCGCGGGGGGTGCGTGAAAGAGGCTCCCAGAGGCCTACCAAGAACCCCTCCTTCCAGGGCCCCGCTGGCCTGCAGCCGGCCTGGGGACTGCATCCTCAGAGAGGTGACAGAAACCAGCAGCTGAGTCCCTCCTGAGCCTGGGACACCCCGCTCACCAGCCGGCCGACTCTCCCCGCAAAGGGGAACGAATTGATTTGAGTATGCGTGTGCGTGCCCAGGGATCCCATAAAAACAGAAGTCTGGGATGTCTTGACGAGCGAGGGTGGGGTGGGTGGAAACAAATGAAAAGAAAAAGCAGAATATTTTGAAATCCCAACATTAAAATAGTTATCCTAGTACAGAGCCATGGTTTTTCTGCCAACCCTAAGGGGGTTTAGAAGCAGAAGGCTGAATTATTTACCTTCCTTGGAGAAAAGAAAACTCCCGAGGGACATCTTTTTAACTCTGTGCCAAGACACTGGAGAAACCCTCGGTGACATTTCCGGGAGCCTCCCTTCTGGAGCTCACACCAGTCACAGAGAATGCAGCCGGGACCCTGGCTCCGGGGGACGTTTGCTGAGCTCCTAATTACCATCCCGGCCTGTTGCTGCTGTTTGAATTCAGGATGTACTCAATAATTGTGTGTCACTCCGCCGTCTGTTTGTGTGGCCCCCAGAATCAAACGGAGGAAAACATTGTAATTTAAATTCTTCTCTCTCCACGTAGGAGAGAAAAAGCCGTGTGGGCTCTGAAATGGAGTATTTCCTTGGATTGCTGTGATCTTCCGAAGACCAGAGATCGGAAGCTGCTTTTCCTTCGTGCAGAATGAGCTCCATCTTTAAAAAGTGTTCAAGTCATGACATTTGCCAATGTTTTTCTTTTACTGAGCTATCTTAATTGACAAACAAAAATGGCATTTACCACGTATGAAATGTTTGTTTGAAAAAAAGCAAAGAAGTCCTCTTAAAAAGACGTGACCTGGCACTACTCCCGCACCAGGGACCCCCAAGAG